CAGAGAAGAGGGCGAGCGCAGCGGCCGCCAGGCCCAGGCAGGCAGGCAGGCTGGGCGAAGGCGGCGCGCGGACCCTCTGGAAAGGAGGGAAGCTTTCCAGCCCGGCGCGGAGACCCGCCGCGGCTGCCGGAGGCCCCTGGCTCAGGCTTCCTGTGCTTGGAAATTACTAAGGAATTATATTTTATCCCAGAAATATTTTTTTGAAGTCCTATTGAAAATCTAAATATAAGCTTAGAGAAAACCATAGCTCTCTCTCCTCGAATCTCTTGTCCTAAGCACAGATCCAAGCCAGGTCTAAAAAGTTTCCTTGTGAAAAGTTGCAAATTATCCTTAATTATTAATCCACAGATGGGGAGGGGTTTTCTCTTTAGAATTTTATCTTTTTTTCAAAACCCTGTCCCAAAATATCTCAAAATAGTTTTTCAGGCTAAAGACATGTCACGAATTAACAGGCATGTCTTTCATTAACAGAATGTTCTTTTTTTTTTTCTATTTGCTTTTCCCATCCCTTCTTTTTCTCTGTACTATCCTTTCTGTTTTCTTTCTTTGATTTCTCTGCCCTTGTTTTGATTTCTCTGTTTTTTCTTCTCATCTTTGGCCTTTGCCTTTCACCCTCCTTTTGTTCTTTCCCCCTCGTCTTTTTCCGCCTTTGCGAATCCCCTGGCCGGTCGCTGGCTGCAAGGTCCCGGACAGGGAGTGGGAGGCCAGTTGGCGCCTCTGGAACCGAGGGCAGAGCGCAGTCTGCCCAGGGGCCGCTTAGGAGGCTGCCCTGCTCGCTTTCCCTCTGACTTTGGTTTCTTCTCCAACCCCTCTTTGTTTTTAAAGCATCTCTCAGGCTGAGGTGGTGGAAAAAGGACCACGTTGACTCACCAACCTCAGATTCCCAGCCCACGGAGAAGGGGCACGGAAGGACAACGAAGGGAAATGGGAAAGAAAGGAAGAGGAAGGAAAGATCTCACACCCGCCAGCAAGAAGCCTTGGCTGGGCCGGAAAGGCCGGAGATGCTGAGAACTGAGGGTCAGGAGGGGCACCCCACCCCCACACGCTCCTGCCCGATTGTCCTGACACTGAGACTGGCCCCGCCAGGAGTCTCCTCCCGGACACCCAAAACTCTAAGAGGGAGGAGGCAAACAGTGAATGAAGAAGAAAAAAGAGAAAACGCACGACCCTGAAAACTGCCTGTCAACGAGCCCCTGGGCCAGGACAAGAGGCTGACAGGGAGTGAGTGGCTAGAACCAGGCCGGGACAGTAGATCCCACGACTTAAGAAGAGCAGGTGGAAGGACCAAAGGCAGGTGATGGGCACCAGAGCAGGTAGGACGACAGAAGAGTAAGTACGGTGACAGGCAGAAGGGAGAGAAGCTGGAGGCGTCAGACACACTGAAGGAGGGACTGAGGCAGAGGGATTGGGGGGACCAGGAGAAGCCAGCGTGGCCTCCGAGATAGGACCTGAGCTCTAGGAGCAGGGGCAGCTCTGGGACCCGACAGGGTTCGGACGGAGAGCCCGAGCGGAGACAGGAGCCGGGCGCCGGTACTCACGGTGCATCGCGGAGAAGGGATCTGCTTTGCAGTGCATATCCATGGGTAGGCAGAGGAGCGGGAGCAGCGCGGCCGCCGCCGCCG